TGTCTGAACCTCTGGCGCGGTGTTGACTCACCCGTAAGTTGATTTGTGTTCTGTTTATACTCTAATGCAGCGTGAGCTTAGTAACTAACTACTTACTCCAACTACAAAACCTACACTAACCTTAGACTCCTGTATTTTGTTAGATGCAGTGTTTCCTAATGCACTTCCAAAATATCATGCCTGGTTTTCTCAAAGTACTCTTGCGGGAAGTAACTCCTTTTAACTACTCCAGGTCAGGTCAGGATAATTGAGACCAAACTTGCTACTGGTATCACGTAACCCAGTACCACCTACCACAAGCCCTGCTGCCTTGCAGAGTGTGCTCTTCTTAGGCAAAGGCTAGGAGAAGTAAACTCCGACTAAAAACTCCCCTGCCTTGGGGCTCTTGGTTGAATAAAGGCTAAAGATGGTGTCTCTATAAAAAATACTCATCTTGGGAAGATGTTAACTGCATCCAGCTACTATCTTGTAGAAGGCCTCCTAGGCAAAGACTTTAGGGGTAAGCAGAAAAATTCTGCTAACCAGCCTCGAACCCCTTCTTCATCTATTAAGCTGACAAAAATGTAACCTGTATTACATTGTTTCCTGCCTAGGATGATGAATGCAGGATCTCCTTGACTCTTGAATTTTGCTTATGCCTCCTTGATAATGGCTACGCAACTCTTCCTGTTGTCTCCATATGAGAGTACAGCTCTAAAACTCAGTTTAATGGTTCTGAGGCCGGCTGGTAGTAAGGTTTCCCGAACTCTGTGGTAGCTCTCAGAGAGGCTGATTCCATCAACAGCTGCAAAATATCAGAGTATTAACAGAGCCATGTTGCGCATGGATGGTGTCCCTGTTAATGCTTTTGGTGTGCATTGTCAAGGCCACATAAGGAGCCCTATGTCACGGCTTAGGGTTAATTAACAGGACAGAGACAACCGCATAGCTCATTGATTAGGAGGCTGTGCTCTATCTATGAATGAGTCAAGTTCTCATTAAACCCAAATCATGACCAAAGTAACCAAAAATTTAAAACCTAAAAAACCATCCCCACCACCTAAAAATATTAATATATCTTTTACAAATATTCGCGGTTTACGAAGCAACTTTCCATTAGTTGAGTCTTACCTCCTGCAAAATTCACCAGACTTGCTTGCACTCAGTGAAACAAATTTAATTTCTGCAATTTCTTCCTTAGATGTCAGTGTTGATGGGTACTATTCTTTGATTTGTAAAGACTCCAATAGTCACATGCTAGGTTTAGGTTTATACATACGCATTAATTCCCCTATTTGTCGTGAAATCAGGTTCGAATCCTTTGACCATTCTTTTATGTGCTTTCGCCTAGCACCTCTTCACTCTATCACCTTTCTCTTTGTTCTTTATCGTTCTCCTTCTTCCCATGATTGCACATTCTTAGATGTTATCTCTGATCAAATTGACCATGCCCTCTCTCTTTACTCCTCTGCCAATATTGTTGTTGTTGGTGATTTTAATGCCTTAATGGCTTAATCACACTTAATGGCTTGGCTCTAACACCACTGATCCTGCTGGCACTAAAGCCTTTAACTTCTGCGATTCTCAATCTCTTACTCAGATAGTTAACTTTGTGACTCGTTTTCCTGATAACCCTAATCATTTACCTTCACTCCTTAACTTATGTCTTGTCTCTGACCCTAGCTTATGTTCAGTTTCTCCCTTTTCCCCCTTAGGTGGTTCTGACCATGCAATGATCTCTATAAATCTTTTTTCTCGTACTTTTTGTTTGGGCTCACCTTATCATCGCACCACCTACTACTACCCTAAAGCTGACTGGGATTCCTTTCGTGATTTTCTTCGTGATGGTCCTTGGGCTGATGTTTTTTCTCTCCGGGCTGACCAATGCGCATCGTACATAACCTCCTGGATTCAGGCTAGAATGGAAGCTTTTATTCCTTCGCGTCGGTTTCAAGTCAAACCTCATTCTACTCCATGGTTTTCTCCTTCTTGTGCGGCTGCTATATCCAATCGTAGTCATTTTTTTCATCTTTTTCAAATAAACAACTCTCTTGAGAACAAACGGCTATTTATTATTGCTAGAAATCGATCTAAAAAGGTGCTTTCTGATACTAAACTACATTATTCTCAGTTCACTAAATCTCGCATCTTATCGCAGAAGTTAGGCTCTAAAGACTTTTGGAAAATCTTCAACAGCATTGTTAACAAGGGTAGATCTAACATTCCATCTCTCATTCATGGGACTGATCTTGTTACCTCTCCCAGGGATAAGGCAGAACTGTTTGCAAAGAACTGTTTTTCTAATTCCACTTTTGAATCTTATGGAAAATCTCTTCCTTCCATTCCAGTCAAACAGGTTGACCCATTGTTAGACATTCAAATCACTCCGGCTTCTGTTGCTAAAGTCATATCTCAATTTAACTCGTCTACAGCTTGTGGTCCAGACAACATTCCTTTCACAGTCTTGCAGAAATGTTCTCCAGAACTTTCTTCAATTCTCTCTAAACTATTTAACAAGTGTTTGACTGAGTCTTGTTTTCCTGCTTGTTGGAAAATGGCATCTGTGGTTCCAATATTCAAAAACTCTGGAGAAAATTCTGACCACTCCAATTATCGTCCGATCAGTCTTCTTTCTGTTATTAGCAAGGTCTTTGAGTCTTTGATCAACAAATTCCTCACATCTCATCTTGAGTCAAATAAACTACCGTCAGACAATCAATACGGTTTTTGACTACAGCAGTTAGCAAGTCGACTCTACGGCCGACTTGCTATCTGCTGTAACTGAAAGATTTTATCGTGCATTAAATGGAGGCGGTGAGGCTAGGGCTATTGCTCTCGACATATCTAAAGCTTTCGACAAAATTTGGCATGCTGGTCTTCTCCATAAGCTTGCTTCATATGGTGTTTCTGGGAAAGTTTTAGAGATTATCAAATCATTTGTTTCTAACCGGTTTATTAAAATCATCCTTGAAGGCCAACACTCTTCTTTATTTCCAGTAACTTCTGGGGTTCCCCAAGGTTCCATCCTGGGCCCTGTTTTGTTATTTATCTACATAAACGATCTTCCTGACAACCTTTCATCTAAAGTAGCTCTTTTTGCTGATGACTCAACTTTATACTCCTGTCTTGACAAAAAGTCTTCTCTTTTCGATCGCCTAGAACAAGCAGCTGATCTTGAATCTGATCTCACTTCAGTAATAGATTGGGGTTCACAGTGGCTTGTGAATTTCAACTCTAAAAAAACCCAATTGCTTACTGCAAACAACTACCGTAATATGGTCAACATTCCTATATTAATGAATGGCAATCCTCTTACTGAGTCGTCCTCTTTACGTCTTCTTGGATTATCGCTTACTACTGACCTTTCATGAAAACCATATATACAATCGATTGCTAAATTAGCTTCTGCTAAGGTTGCTTCTCTTTATCGTGCTCGCCATTTCCTTACTTCTGATTCCATTCTCTACCTCTACAAATCTCTTATTCGTCCCTGTATGGAATACTGTTGTCATATTTGGGCTGGTTCTTCTAACGATTCACTCTCTCTTCTTGACAAGGTCCAAAAACGCATTGTAAATGTTGTTGGACCTGGACTATCTGCTAAGCTTGAACCTCTTTCCCATCGTCGTAAAGTTGCATCTCTTTCTCTTTTCTACAAATACTATCATGGTCACTGCTCAAAGGAGTTATCATCTCTAGTTTCATCAACTAAAACTCATACTCGTTTTACTCGTCATTCATTCGTTTACTGTATTTGTTTCTGCATGCTCTAAAATCTTTTATTCATTTAGTTTTTTTCCCCGCACTTCAATCCTTTGGAACTCTCTCCCATCTTCATGTTTTCCTGACTCATACGACCTTCAACTTTTTAAGTCTTCTGTCAACCGTTTCCTTGCTCTATAACTCTGTTCTTTTTTTCCTAGTAACTCCCAACTTGATAGTGGTTGCTTTCAGCCTTGTTGGGAGTGAGTTCAAGAAAAAAAAAAAAAAAAAAGATTGAATATTAGATTGTTTAAGTCTTTAAGATATTAGAATGTTGAGTTCTTTAAGATATAAGAAAGTGTAAATCTTTAAGTTTTTGGATGTTTAAATCTTTAAGATATAAAAAAGTTTAAACCTTTAAAGATTAGTAAAATCTAAACACTGGTAGTAAAAATTGTCAACAGTATATAGTTTCAATCCATAAATGATTTATGATATATACCACAATCCGTAGAAAATTCTGTTAACTCTACAATGTTCATCGTTTACAATATTCAATATTATAGTATATTTAATTTCGCATTTTTTACTAAACATTCATTTTTACAAATTAGTTATTATATGTAATTTTCTCGTTCGAAACAAAACTTCTTTTCTTTCCAAAAATTGGTATTGTGGTTTATCCTCCTCCGGCAAATTGCCGTATAGAGGTCACATTACCAAGGCCCGCAAAGACAGGTTCGGCTCCGCAATGAGCGTCATAACCCGCTCTACGGACCAAGAGTAAAGTGAGTTTAGGAAGAACGAAGATATGTTAGAGTGAAAGGCAGAAGTAATTGTGTTAGAAAGATAGCATAAAGAAAGCGGACAGGATTGCACTCGATGTTAGGAGGTGCAATAGGTTGAAATAAGTTCTTTCCAAAAAAATTATTTATTAACTTGAATTCAATTCATCTTAAAAAAGTTTTAAATCCATTTATATAAGATATCTACCCACAAAACCAACATTACAAAAATCGCTTATAATTAAATTATAACCATGTAATTGCCGTAGAATGTTCTAGAACTTTCTCTACTTTATTTACACTCCTCCTTTGTCCTTACGGATCATATAAATAGTAATCGTCGTTTTTTTGGGATATGCGTCGTTCTCGAGTACTTCGTGGCAAAGGCGCTGTTTCTTGGAATCTATTTTCGGCTTCACCATTTCCTTGTAACACGTCTACTTTGCTTGTCTCCAACACATTTTTAATATGCTTACCATGGTTTGCCGCGTTATCTCGACCACTGACTGCGTTCACTTTAGTAATATTGGATGGTTAAATGTTATTTCGATATCGGATATGTTTTACGTGACGTGGAACGCCATTAACTTCGACATCTTGTTTCGAAATATTTCCCGTTAGTTTTGCTGGCTGCCACTTAGTATGGCACTTTGCATTTAACGGTTTCAACCAAACATTTTCACCCATTTTAAACACTTCATTTGTGTCAGCTTTAATCGGAATATTATCTTTTCTCAATCCTTTCGCATTACTTCGATACCTGTATATTTTCTCCATCGGGTTTGCATTGTTTTTGTTAGCTGAGACTTCGTACCAATACACTGCCTCCAGTAATGACATTTTTGACCTTTCTGCTATTCTCTTAATTGTACGATGATTTCTTTCCACAACTCTTTTTCCTTCAGGATAATAAGCAGCTCGAAACCTAATGCGCACTCCCCAACCATCAAGAAAACTACTCAACTCCTCAGTTTTAAAAGTTGCTTCGTTATCTGTCAAAATTTCAGATGGTGCTCCTCGCTCGCAAAAGATAAGGCAGAGTATTTGAGTAAAATCAAGAAAACTACTCAACTCCTCAGTTTTAAAAGTTGCTTTATTATCTGTCAAAATTTCAGATGGTGCTCCTCGCTCGCCAGAGTATTCGAGTAATGGCAATACTTCCGTATGAACTTGATACTGTCTCCACAGTGCGTTTCTTGAAGGTCCGCAAACAACCAGAGTTAAACATTTTTCTGTGCCAAAATGCGTGATATCCGTGGCCACTCATTCCCAATTTTCTTTAACGCTTAACATTCCCTTCTCCCGGTACAGGTGCTGGATCTATTGACTGAAATGGTTCGCAATTTTTAATTATCTCTCTAATACGTCATTTTTGGTTTTTTAATTACCTCTCTAATACGTCTAATATCATTTTTTTAATTACCTTTCTAATACGTCATTTTTGGTTTTTTAATTACCTCTCTAATACGTCTAATATCATTTTTTTAATTACCTCTCTAATACGTCATTTTTGGTAGCGGTTAAAATTACTTTACGAACAAAGTTTAGAGTGCGACTCACTCCAAAGTGTCCAGTTCTCTTGTGTATGCTAGAAATGGATTCAGCCTCTGCAAATACTGCTCCAACAAAATTACTTGAATGCTTAGCCTCCATCAATTTATTCAACCATCTACTTCGAACTCTAGTCAATGCGTCAGCTAAGTTGTCTTTTGAAAGAACAAGTTTTATATTCACATTATTATCATATTCTTCAATACATTGTTGCAGAACGCTTAATCTTCTTCGAATCAACATTTCGCCCATTGCTTTTGATTTCAATCTTGACTTACCAGTGAGAGCGTCAGAGACCCAGTGGAACTCTGTCACGGAATCTGTGAAGATAGTTACTTTCTTTAATTTCCACGTCAAAGCCATTTTTATTCATCGTATTACAGCATGCAGCTCAGCCATGTTTATGTGATCCTCAAACATTTCTTTTCGTAGCCAGGTTGCATTTTCTACAGTAGTTTTAACAACTTGAATAGCCGCACCACTTTCCAACGAACTTGCATCAACCCACATATTTCCCTCGTCACCATGTACAGCCCAATCACTATAAGCTGAATCGCTCTTTGCAACCTCATCATAAACCTCTTGAACTACACGCTTTTAATTTTCATCGCAAACTTCATCGTCTCAACCCTAACCACTCTTCTTTTCAAAAGACTACATACTGCACGTAACCAACCACATACTGGTAAATGACCTACCAACTGCCCACAAATGGAAAACACTACTCTTCTACTTAACTTTTTCGGCATTTAGTCGACTTGATTCTCCCTTGATTAGGTCAACTTGCCACCAACCTTGTACACACATAATCCCAAAATACGAACCCGATTACATCCAATCTGTTCACCTTTTTTACTCTATAAACCATATTTTTTTAAAATGTCTTTTGACATAATCAAGACTTACTACTTCTTCATTGACAAAAGTATCGTCTACGTAAGCGGATGATTCTCTCTTCACCAATTCATCTTGATCAATAATGGCACTCGCAACAGATTTCATGATCATTGGAGCAACGTTTAATCCAAAACCAAACGGTATCAAACAATGCCTTTTGGTTTGAAAAACCACTGTTTGGAATGGCCGAAAAAGATTCTTCAGTTTTTAATTGGAAATAAGCCTTGCGTAAACTAATAATTGCTGGTTTTTTTCCCATTCTTCACCAATTCTTCAGCTTCTCAACACACACATCTGCATCTCTTGTATACGTTTCAATAAAATTGTTAGCTTCTCTCCAGTCCAAAACGGGTCTGACTTTATTATCTTTATTACAACGTTTAATCCAAAACCAAACCGTATCAAACAATGTCTTTTGGTTTGAAAAACCACTGTTTGGAATGGCCGAAAAAGATTCTTCAGTTTTTAATTGGAAATAAGCCTTGCGTAAACTAATAATTGCTGGTTTTTTTCCCATTCTTCACCATTTCTTCAGCTTCTCAACACACACATTTGCATCTCTTGTATACGTTTCAATAAAATTGTTAGCTTCTCTCCAGTCCAAAACGGGTCTGACTTTATTATCTTTATTACAACGTTTAATCCAAAACCAAACCGTATCAAACAATGTCTTTTGGTTTGAAAAACCACTGTTTGGAATGGCCGAAAAAGATTCTTCAGTTTTTAATTGGAGATAAGCCTTGCGTAAACTAATAATTGCTGGTTTTTTTCCCATTCTTCACCATTTCTTCAGCTTCTCAACACACACATCTGCATCTCTTGTATACGTTTCAATAAAATTGTTAGCTTCTCTCTAGTCCAAAACGGGTCTGATTTTTATATCTTTATTTCGTTGTATAAAAGCCATAAAGGGAGTTTGCCCTTCGGGTGGTCCTATCTTATTTTCGTCATATTCAACTAACCATTTACAATTGATTCAATCCCGTAGTTCGTTTTCATATTCTGCTCTTGCATATTTTGGTACGCTGCACAGTGGGCCAAAATCATTATTAGCTGGACAAAATTAATAACTTTTAAAATATTTATCAGGTTTTTCCCATAATTAGCAGCTTGAGTATATTTCATATAACAAATCTAATGGCACCATTAGATTGTTTATTTGGTTGCCACGGATACCTATACTTCATGTCAACAGGCATTTTGCATAGTTACCTAAATAAAAAGACTTTCTCAAAATATCAAAGTTATAAACTAAACTGATATTAATGCTACATTGCTATTTTATGTATTTGAATGATAACACAAACAAAAAATTATCAATTTTTGGTGTTACTATGCTGTTATGTGCTCTTAGAAACCAGTTGGTAATTTTTTTTGAAACTTTTTCTTAATTCAAAATTTCTTTAAAAAATGAAATAAAAACTTTTAAAACACTCTTAACTATAAAGGTTTACAGGAACAGTTAATTAAATTTTAACTGTGTAGTTTAGATACCCTTAGCAACCATATAAAAATAAGCAAGTTTTTATGCAATTAGAGATACAAAAAATTTTATAACGATCATATAAGAAAACAAACTTTTATATTCATTACTTTATTATGTAAATATTAAATACTTATAAAGTAAACACCATCTTAAACACCAACGAAAATCAAAACTATGTCATTGACACTTAGTCAAAAATTGGAACCTCTTTAAGAAGATCAAAAACTCCATTTGGAAGAGCGTTTTTCTAAGGATGATGGGGTTTTCTCAAACTACTTATCAAAGGGTCAGAAGAACACATTAGTCGCCTTAATAAATCTTCGTTTGTTTTGGAACGCGAACACTTTCTAGAAAATGATTCTCGAAATTTCTTAAAATTTTTATTTTGAGCTTCTTGTGCCTCTTCGCTGAGCATGCCAATAGGCAAAGCCATTCTCTCTACAACTTGCCAACCATGAATAAGAATGTGATGCAGACTCTGTGGCATATGATACCATGGATAAAGGATTACATACTTCTCAGCTGTTTTGTAGCAGTATTCTCTAAATAGTGAAGAATCAATTAGAAAGTTAGATGACAATGTACACAAAATCACATGCAACATCTTTTTCATACTGACATCAAGTTCAAGAATTTGAGCAGACTTCTCTGCATTCTGAAAAAATTTTCTAGCAGTGTTTCCATTATTTGAAGACCCAGAGCCACCAGATGTTGGCATATCAATTATCAGTCAAACTTCATCACGAAACCTTATCTGGATTTTCTGTTTTCGTTCTTGAATAATTTTCTTTTCAGATATAGTTCTTGTAGCCCACTTTTTCACTGTCAATTTATAACTAATTTTAAGAAGACATTCCATGCTTTTAATCCAAGCATGGAGAGTTGAAAGACCGAAGCAGAGACCTATCTCTGTCAATGGCATATTTTTAGCTGCATTAAGATCATTCATTTTTTTGGGGCTGCATCCACAAACAGAACAACACTGAGAAGATGTAGTTGCTGTAGATAATGCTGTAGCAACTTTGCCATCCACCATCGTTATTTCAATTTTATGAAGTATTGTTAAGTTTTCACAAAATGTTAAAGACAAATTTGCAATTGAATTGTTAATAAACTGATTCTCTTTTTTCAAAACTTCAATGGTTTCTTTTTTAAATGAAAATCTTATTGGTCTGCAATATAAAGTTGAAGATGGATGTGGATTAGACCAAATTATTATTTTTTTATCATTAATGAATCCAAACAACTGAAGTGGAACAAAACAAGAAATAAACAAACTAGCTTCTTCTAAAAGATCTCTGTTTTCTTTCTCAACTGTTACTTGATTATAAATCCTTTGGCTAGTTGATCCATCAAACCCAACTTTAGAATATAAAGTCAACCTTTCAAGATCATTCATTGAATTAATAACTTGTTTCTGCAACTGTATTAGGCGTATTGCTGTATGATCGACTAATGCTTGAAAGTTTATTTCTGCTGAAAAATCATTTACAGTCCATAATGTTTTTTCAGGAAGACACTGTTCTTTAGCAGCACGAACATCATTGTAAGCAGGATAGAGATTACAACCTTTGCTCAAAGCATTATTTCTCAAGCGTTGGTAATCAGATTTGCTCATATCAATATCTAATATGAGTGCTAGAGCTTCATTTAGAGTGTTTTGAGTATGTTCTGTATCAAAAGGTTGCTTAACAGATAAACTTCGAACTACTTTTGCATCCTTTCTTCTGCTATCTTTAAAAAGATTACAACTACTAGCATACAACAGTTCATTTGATGAACAAGTTAATAAGTCCATAGCTGCTACTTTACAACTCTTTGTCTTATTTGATGAATCATCAAATAATTTTACAGGTCGACCACTAACTATAGATTCAGTTTTATTATCCTGATTTTTAAATGACTTAATAAAGTCTTTTTGAAGCCATATTGAATTATGTTTCATAAAGTTTTCATCAATTCTTTTACTTAAAGACCAACGTTTACGATACTTGGACAAAAAGGTTACAAACTGAGCATCAAATTCAGAACAGTATTCACGAATAAAATTGTAAACATAAAGTTTGTCTTTTTCATTAGACATAGATAAACCATGCTGTCTTATGAATTGATGAATTTGATATCTTGTGATGGTTGACATATTACTAATAATAATATTATTAGACTAAAATAATATAAACATTAAAAAGTTGTATTAACATATATATATATATATATATATATATATATATATATATATATATATATATATATATATATATAAATACTTGTTATTTTGCGACAAAAGAAACTTGAAAAAGAAACATCTTTGATTTTATAAAGTATAAGTATTAAAAAGTATTATAGGTATTAAAAAAAGTAGCAGATACTAGCAGCTAAATTAATAATTTTATAAAAACATATACATATAGCCTTCAAAATATGTATAAGAGATAAAGGCAAAATAGAGCACAAATTTTTCCTTGTTATCTTTTCAAAAAAAATTAAAAAAAAAGTCCAATTTTTACCAAAAAATATATCTAAAACTGGTTTAAAATTTTTTTTTAACTTTTTTTTTTTTATAAATTTTATATATTAACAATTATTTGATATGTTAATAAAAACAGTTAACCAATATACTAAAAATTTATTACACACTTTTGCTTTTTTAAAAACTACATTTTCTCACTTTATCGCCATTTTTTTTTTTTGCAAAAATTTTACTTGAAATGAGTTTTTGTTGAGAATATATATTTTTTTAATTTATTGTAATTATTTTTAAGGTCCTCAATGTATCTAAGTAAAAACTTTTTAAAAAGAATTTCAGTTTTTAGACATAAATTTTTTTAGTTTTGTCCACCTACTGGCCCACTGTGCAGTGTAAGCTTATTTTGTTTATTACGTAATGTTTCGTTTTTTTTAATTAGAATGAAATGATTTGTGTGTCAAAATCTTTGGACAGACCAATAAAAACTCGTAATATAAAACAGTCTTAATTAAA